CACACGCACAGACATGGACACACACGAAGCGCAACGGCTCCTTTGTCTGCCTTTCCTTTCCCTCAGGCCGACCGGTTGCCGCCCACATTGCCCTCGCCGCCTGAGGTGAGTGAGCAGCCGCCGTCTACCCCTGCCGCTGCCGCTGCTGAGGATGAGGGCCCTTTGGAGAGCGACCGTGACATCGAGCCGCTGGAGCTGCAGGGCAAGGGATGGGCGAGAAGACGGTCAGTCAACCAGCACCATTGCGGCCTCACACACACACGCGACACACACATGTGTGTCTTGATGTGTGCAGGGCGTCTGTGGGCACGCCGAATGCCACTGCGAGTTCGAGGACTGCTGAGGGGCTCCGGAGAAGTTCGGGAGGTCTGCGCAGATCGTCGGCCGTTGACGCCACTGATGCACTCGGGTATGTGAGCGCGCACACACATTTTCCCCCTTTATTTTTGTGTGTCTGTGTGCGCGTGTGTGCGTGTAGGGGTCTGTCTGCGCACCAGCCTTCGAATGAGTCGCTGCGTGAGGATCGGCTCAGACGCGTCGCGTCCCTGTAAGTGCTCGTTGTCGGTTGCGGACAGCAAATTCTATTGTTGTGTTGTTGTGTGCGTTGTGGTCAGGTCTTTGGACCACAAGTGGCCGGAGTCGGTGACGGCCCACCTGCACTCACCCGAAGTGCTCGTCGACCTGCACGTCCCCGTATGTGAATTCTATGATATGCAGATGAGGGCTGTGTGTGTATGTGTGTGTGTGTGTGTGTTTGCAGGACGCCCGTCTTAAGACCAACTTGCGGCTGAATGCGGGAGCCTTCATGTACGTCTGTCTCTTCCACCAAACACACTCGACACGCACTGCCGCCCATCCATCCATTCTTGCATCTCTCTCTCTCTGTGTGTGTGTGTCTGTGTGTGTGCCTGTGTGTGTGCAGGATCCCCCACCCCGAGAAGGTCGAGACGGGCGGTGCCGACGCGTATTTCATATGCGAGATCCCCGGTAGGCACATCCATCCATCCATCCATCCATGTGTGTATGTGTGTGTGTATGTGTGTGTGTGTGTGTCTGTGGGTGTAGGCGGTGGTGCCCTTGGCGTGGCTGACGGTGTTGGCGAGTGGGACTCGTTCGGCCTCAACCCCAAGATGTTCGCCGACGAGTTGATGCGGGGGTGCCAGCAGGCGGCCATCCTGGCACTGACGGACACCGACACACCAACAGCGTCATCAGCCGCACCAGCACCAGCAGCAGCAGCTGCTGCTGCTGCTTCTGCTTCGTCGAGCGCTGCTGCCGCTGCCGCTGCCGCTGCCGCTGCCGCTGCCGCAGAGGACACTGAGACGGGAGTGCGGGAGAAGGACGCCTCTGGTACTGTGACTAATACGCACCATTACAGACACATGGCCTCACACACATGCGTGTGCAAACAAACAGGCTCGTCGACCTGCTCACTGACCCCCCTCGCGTCGGCCTCGACGGCCTCGTCCAAGACCCACCAACCTTCCCCGAGCAACGGCCACGGCGGCAGCGATGGCGACAGGGGCGACAGCGGCAACACTGAGGAGGGCGAGACCTACCTGGAGGATATCAAGTGCATGGACCTGCCGCCCGAGAAGATCGCCCTGAGGTAAGAATATTCTGTGTGTGTGTGTGTGTGTTGACGGATGTATGGACGGGTGTATCTGTGTGTGTGTAGGATGATGCAATACGGGTACACCTGCACCCGTTCCTACGGCGCATCCACGGCACTTGTCGCCTATCTCGACACGAAGGTCAGTGAATGAGCTTTCGTCTTCCACACACCCCTCTATCCATCCATTCATGTGTGTGTGTGCAGGGCGAGAAGCTAGGCGTCGCTAGCCTCGGCGACTCGACCATGATACTCCTCAGGTAAGTCAGGCAAGGCACCTGCCTCCATCCATCCATCCATCCATCCATGTGTGTGTCTGTGTGTGTGTGTGGGTGCGTGCAGACGGCAGAAGGTCTACAGCATGACCGTTGTGGAGCGGACCAAGGAGCAGCAGCACTCCTGGAATTGCCCATACCAGGTGTGTGGCTGTCTGTCTGTCTCTCTGTCTGCCTACCTACCTGGATGGACGGATGGATGGATGCGTGTGTGTGTGCAGCTGTCTCGACTCCCTGACGAGAGCCGGTACGACGAGCTCGAGAGGGAGGGCAAGGTGCGCTCTCTCACACAGAGAGAGAGTGGGCACACACATGGACGGATGGATGGATGGAAGCGTTCGTGAACTGTATGTGTATGCCAGGAGAGGCTGGTCAACGTGTGCAAGGACGCCAGGCAGAGAAGCGACGGCGCGATCACTGAGGTATGTGTGGATGCGCGGATATCACGTCACCACACCAAGCCATCTTCCCTCTCCCTCTCTCTCTGTGTGCGCGCGCAGGACACGCCGGAGATGGCGCAGTTCTACTCGGTCAGCGTCCGCGAAGGGGATCTTCTCATCCTGGGCACAGATGGTACACTCACACACTGTGACATGCACACAGCCCAGCCACACACATGCATTCGGTCAAGTTGATGCGCGCGCCCCGGTGTGTGCAGGCGTGTTCGACAACCTATTCGACTATGAGATCTGCAACATCGCCAACCTGGCCCTCTCACCATACGAGTCCCTGGTAGGCAAAGGCCCACAGACACACACACACACACACACAGAGAGAGAGAGAGAGAGAGAGGGAGAGAGGGAGGGAGAGAGGCACGTGTGTGTGTGCGTCTGTGTGTGTACAGGTGCTCCACGAGAAGTCCCTTGTCACCCCTGCCCGCGACGTCGCCATCGCCATTGCAGAGGCAGCGCG